AACTCTTGGGCTACTCTTTTACCAACGAATAGTGGGATTCACCGTCACATTATAAACCCCCCCCCCCCACGGCTGAAAGGGCGAGCATGTTTGGTGTGACAGGGATTCGAACCCGCGACCCTCAGATTGCGAGTCGAGCAATTAATCACATTAAACTGTTTAATGTGTTGATGAACAGAACTAGGATATAGAGACACTATAATAAAAATACAGCACTTATGAGCATAAAGTAGTGATAAGGTGCATTACACCCATTTTTAACAAGATAAGTATGTGTTAAGAGATGATTGTGTAGTCAAATTCAGACGACTTGTTAAATATTTTATAAGTGGATCATTCTGTTTATGCAGCTATGGATGGTACAGAATTTTGGGGCATACCGTACATAAATTGTAGAGGACACTTGAGTTAAAACAGGTTTATAAAACAATATAAATATTTGATAATATTGTGGTTGAACTATTAATGTAGCAATAGTTATGAACAAGGAAACACCTTGTGTCAGCATTACAAATTCAACAGAGCTTTGATTCTAGTTTTTTTTCTTTAAGCAAATTTCATCGACAATAAAACTGATGATTAGCCTGTCAGATTACTTCAATAACACAGCCAATGGATACTTTAAGAAACTCATAATGCAAAACATACAATACAGTTTTTGAAGCAAATGTTGCTAAGAACTTCCATGGGTTTTATTATGAATTTTCTTTTATCATAACTTCATTTAGTATTCTCATCAGAAATTAAAAAAAAAAACAACTAAAAAATGTTAAGATATTTACGAGTATCAACTTTTACAAAAATAACATCATGTTGAGTATAACTAGCAGAACAAAAACATTTATAAATCTAGTGTCAGAAAACATGAATTGGGATGTTACACGATAAGACACTAAATTCTCATATAAATATAGAAGTTTATTAACAAAGTGAGCCAGTTAACCCATATTTGTTTTTCATTTAATATCAGTATCAATCCAAAAAAGTATGCAGCAGATATGCTTACACAAATGAGGAACATCCTCTTAACAAAAAAAAGCTCATGTTGTAACACGTGTTGTTCACAGCACTCTCAGCACTGTATCACTAAATACCATCAAACCTATCAACTAATATTACTGTAACATCGGTTAACTAGCTTTTACCTCATGTGCGATTGCTTAGAAATGAACACAATATAACATCAATTGTTCTTCATGTTTGAAAGTTCTCAAAATACTTATAACCAACTTTCACCAATTAAACTTATATGAGCTTTTAATCAACAATTCAATCCTTAGAGCAAACAAAACAAAATTTTCTTAATAAAATTTACACTTTACAAGCTTTTCATAATAACAACAAATTAACTTTAAATAACTTTAGTGCATAAAGTCTATAAACAAATAAAACCAGTTTACCAATAGGGTTTACAACTCTAATTTTTTTGAAAAATCTTATATAATCATAACAGCTATAGCCTCGGTGTCATTGGGCATCTGAACCATTCTCTATAAACGGACAGACATTGAAAGGAGTGTCATTAAATTGTAAAGTAACAAAATAATGGTAGAAGGTGAAGGAGTCATTTCCCCAACACAATAGGAGGAATGTTCACACAAAGGCCACCACCTGAAAGAGTTCCATAACTGAAAGCAGCAAAGTGGACAAGGAAAAGACACCATGGACAAAATTTCCAGCTCTTAACTTTTAATGACCTGATGCATTGAACATACAAGTCGCATTCAACCTCATTCCCAGGTTCCTAAAATGTAGCATGTGTGAGCTATTCATTTTTGTTATTACCCTTACTCTCCAGATATCACATCTAAGAATCTAGCATTCTTCAGAAAAGGAAATGCAGTATGAGCTTATCTGTGAAGTTATTTCAGTATTGAATACAATTCTAAATAAATCATGTCTAAGGAGCAATAAAACTGTCATGAGTGATCAGGAATACTGCACTTTTACCTACACTGTGAAAGAAAACACTTTGCCAAAGTATACTCAAAATTTAAAGTTAAGTACAAGCAACCTAAGATATCGTGGATGTCAGAGTAGAACAACTACACACACAAACAATTCAGTACTGCAACAGACATATTTACAAATGCAGAGCTGTAAAGATCACAAACTGGGGATTCAAGGGATATGATAAAAAATGACCTGGTCAAATGTATCAACATTGACCTTTTTTGACCACATTACGTGGCCAAGTTTTGGTGCATATAGTTGTGGAGATATTACAAAAGACAGAACTTGCATAGGTACTTGTTTCCAACCAACTTTACAGATGCAGGCAGTCCCATTATGAGTTGGATCAAACCTATTGAAACATGCTTGGTCCAATTGCTTCCCTAAAAGGCAGGATGATGACCTACCATTATAAAATCATTCTTCGAAATCAGATTAACTCTCTGACGAACACTTTCACCCAACTTGAAATATGACAATGTACCTATCTGACAAGTGTTGTTCCAGAACTAGAATGCCAAGCAAGAGGAAACCCAAAGTCATCTGCCATGTTATGCACACTTAACCTCATCAAACTATTATGCTGTATTCTTAAAACTACATCATTTTCTCACTCTGACATTCCAGACAAAATTGGAGACAGCTCTTATTGAGGAATGATGTAATGCTCCAAATAAAATTTTCCCACCACCTTGCTGCTTCATTGTCCAAATAAATTGGTTCTGCCCTTAAGATTTTATTAATCCTTTTTTGGATAAGTTTTCCATTTTTTGAACCCCCCCCCCTCAAATTTATAACTAAATGCATTTTATTTAACAAACTAAATCTAAAACATAAAATAAGTTTGCCAATAATTTTTAACCCTACCCTTCAGAAATGTAACAAATTTTGATTAAAATATTTAGTGGATTAGATTGCAAAGGAAGTGCTATCTACCATAAAGTGTTAAACTTTCAGTTCAGATTTTATGTAGCAAAGAAAACTTTCAGCATAACTAAAAATATAAATTTTGTGTTTGATTACATTTCAGGATCACAAGTGATTTAATGAACAGGGATATTTACTGTTAGATTAAAGATAAGCAAACATTTAGAGAGATAAATTACTTAATGCACTGTGTGAAATTTGAAGCAAGACAGTACTAGCATATAGATATTTGAAAAGACATTTTCAAAAATGTATTCATCCTTTTTTTTGTAATCGTTGTTCTAGGTACACAATAACATCTGCACATGATAATTATACTGTTTCACTCAACTGAAATAATTTGAACATTACAGATTATGCAGTGAAACTATTTAAATTAAGATGAGTTTGCAGACAAAAATCATTTATCAATCTAAAACGAGATCAGATCACAAGCAAACCTTAAATCTTATACAACTAAGATTTATTTCCTGTACAGTAATTTTAAAATATTTGTTAAAAGATTCAGTCCTTCTAGCTATTTATTATTGTGCCTTGACTGTTCTTTAGCAGTCCAATGAGATCCATGTGATTTGTTAGGTGATGCAAGGCCTCCAAACTAACAGTGATTAAATGAAGTGTATCCTCCCATCTTTAGTAGTTTAGGGGCTCCACAAAATCTTTCATGTGGTAAGTTTCCTTGAAAATTAAAATTACTACAATAATATGCTTCTGTAGGTGGCTTAAACAAAAGTTGTGATTTATATGTTTTTGGTTTCAGGATATTCAAATATTCTAGTCGGATCTATAACTTCATATGCAATGATATATATATATATAAATAAACACACACACACATACATATATTATGTTGTATGTGGAGTTTCAAACAGACATTGAGTTCATACAGAGGTACAGTCTGTTTCTAGTGAGTTAGTAAGTGTATACACTACCACCATAAAGATTTAAAATGTTACAGTGAACATATATACACACACACACACACACAATAGTAATCTGACCAAGAGAAAATTTATAAAAAAACTAACAAACCTCCTATTTCTGCTTGATGCAATGAACTATTCACTTTTCACACATACATATTGCAAGATAAACCTTCTAACGATATATTATCTTGACTGGAATTATACAACTATCAAAGAGAACTTTTACTAGATACCTGACCTGTGTACTAAAAATACAATTATTAATAATTAACAAGATGAAAAAACATGTTATCAACATAAGTAATAAAAGATTAATTATAATTACAAACAAGTATCTAACTTATCACACTCTTCCATTACTGAATGTAAATTTCTAAAACACTTCTTGCACAAAAACAAGGTTTTAAATAACATTAACTTGCAGAGCAGCTGACTTAACTCGAAACTAAAATTACATTCATACACATTAAAATAGGTTTTAAAAACATCATTTTTACATACGAATATCATAGTCAGCAACATCAACCATAGAAACATAGTGTATAATTACATTTTATAAAGAATGAGTACAAGTCCTTCAGTAAACTTGTTTCTAGAGGAGATTGTGACGTTTTCATAAAACAAACACTTTCTCCATTGGTTAATAAGTAAGGTCTCGTATGAATTCAACTCCATCAAGCAATGATGACCCATGAGGTAAAGGCAGAACAATTTCTTCTGGTGCAAAATCTATCCCAGTATCCCACACTTGGTGTAACAGATTCTTCATAAAGTACTGTCTGTCATGCTTCATACCAAGTGACTTTATAAAGTTCACTTAATTATAATCACTTCATATTACACAACAAATATTAAGATATATATATTTCAAGTTATAAATCACAGAATATTGAGAATAATTTCAAGCTAAAAGACTTTTTATTTGTTTTGGTGTTGTTTCATCATTCAGATGTCTTGTTGTGTACCTAAGTAAAGATATGAAACATACAAATTATTAAATAAGAATTAAAAAAAACATCAAAAGACAAAGATGTACAGATATCTTAGAAAAGTATAAGATGCACAAGTTTTTAGAAGAAAAAAAATTAAATACAGACTAGGGATACAGCAGTGATTAAAAATTAACAGTAAAAGCATTTTCAGCATGGTAACATTGTCACAATAGATTAACACTTGTAATAACAGACGTTGATATATCTTGTAGACTATGTAACAGTAAAGTTCATACAAGTTACCATTTTAGTACTAAATGTGCTTGGCAGTGCCACTAATGACGAGTGATGTTCAAATATCCTACTGTTTATGGTGTGGAATAACAACTTGCACTTTCTTTGATTCTGTAGCTTTCAATATACTGAATGTTTATTTTATAAAATTAACATTTTCACTGGAGACCAAAAACTTGAGGTCAAAACTCACCTAAGAGCATTTAGCAAACCTTCTACAACATTAGGTGGTTGTTCTTTTAGAACTTTAATAGACCCTTTCACCTGAAATATAGAGTATATACTAATGTTTCTATATAGAACACGTACATTAACTAATTTCACATTATAAGACAAGATAAACATCACTTAGCAATTCGTTTACACTGATTTAATAATTGCTTTACTAGTCATGTTTAATGATGTTATTTCTAAAATTTTTTTATTATACAGAATTTTTACCAAATTCACTGTTAAGAATGTTTTAATAAACAGGAAAACAAAATAGTATTTAACAATCATAGCTACTCCACCATACAATATATGGGTATAGCAATGCAACAAAATCAGTTTATGCTATCCCAAAACCATTAGAAACTTTCTATTTCTCTCGAGTCTAATATACTTCACTTACAAAATAATTTGTTTTTTTACTCCGTACTTCAAGCTTCTGACTTGATGAGGGGAAAAGCATATTGAAATACAAATTTCAAGCCATAAATTTTTAACAATTAAAAACTGTTACAGTATAGTTTTTCAAACCATATTTACACTCTCTTGTTTCTCTCTCTTATTTTTTTTTCTACAACAAATGACTTTTTTTTTAAGTGTTATGAGCTTCTAACAATGAATCCCTTGGTAGGTCAGTGATAAGTCTTAGGACTTATATTACCAAAATCCAGGATTCAAGTCCCCACGGTGGACAGAGTGCAAGCAGACCATCATGTAGCTTTGCCTTAAAAAAAAAACAATGAAGATAGAAAATCGTAAACAAACTATTATTGCTGGTAACGAGTTAAATAATTTCTATTTATAAACTTATTAAAACAAAATTCAGCAAAAGAATTAGAGTTGTGTTAAAATGGTGTTACTTACATCGACATGTGATGTCTTTGCAAAAGCTCCTATAGGATGAACGTGGTCATAAAGTATGATAACTCCAACCATCACTCGTAGAACAAACAAGTTGGTGTCCTCATTCTGGAACCTTGCATAAAATCCACTAGAATAAGATGTTTAAGATGATATATCCAATATGGTAAACAGCAATATTCTCTAACTAATGCACTAGTAGGCAAAACTTTAGGCTAATAAATCGTTTGTCCAACTAAAAGGCATACTATTTTAGAGAATTGGAGTACAAAAACGCCTCAATATACAGACAGCACTTTCAACAAAACAAAGACCTACAGACCAAGTATGAAATTTGTGGAAGATCTTTTAATGATTTTTTAGAAATGTTAAATATATATATATATATAAAAATGGAACTTTTAGAACTAAAATTTAAAAAAAATTACTAAGATGAAAGTTAACATTTTCCTAAACTGAAAATGTATTTGATAGATACTTACCTCCTTTCACACACAAAAAACTTTCTCAACTTATACTGCCCTCTATCAGTGCAAATTTTCACTCATTACTAGCCTTGATACCCTACTTATTTCTGCATACTAACATGCAAATGATTATGCAGCACTCATCCACCAACAGGAGTGCAACAATACTTCTATACTGTAACTAGCACTCTCTCTAATCTTGCAGCTATTAACCACTTTGAGGTTGGTCAGATCATACCAAACCATACCAGAAGGTAAGTAACTACCAGAAAGACATTTTCAGTTTAGGAAAATGTTAACTTCCGATACAATATCTTACCTCCTCTCACAAAAGTCTGAATCCCACATTGAACCAGTGGAGGGTCAGTGACAAGATGATCCCCCTTTAGAAAGCACCCAAAGGAAAACCATGGGAAGTGAGAAGGAATTAAAAACAACATATCTGCACCACCAATGTGTCACCAAATAAGACGGAAACAGGGAAGGACCCCAAGAAAAAATTACAGAAATAATGGCCCCCCCTGGTGTAGAGTGGCTATTGTGCCATAGACTGAAATGAGAGTTCAATCTCAACCAACACCTGGTGGCATCTGGAATTGTTCATCAGGTCTATGGTAGGAAGAGAGCTCTCTACCTTTTACTTCAAAAATGAGTACCAGCAGGGAAGAGGAGCTTCCATACCAAGATCTCACCTCTGTATGCGTGCACCTCCAACACAACCAACACAAAATCTACCGGTAACTGACATCCAGCAGATGGTAGGAAAGTGGAGAACCCAAGTGGGTGTTCCTCTATGGTCCAAAACCTGGCAGCATTGGGCATTTCTCATTCAGTCTGTGATAGGAGGGGGGTACCCAGCCTTGGACATGCAGGAATTCATGTGTCTCGTTTAGCTACAACCAACACCAGATCCACTGGGAACTGACATACATTGGATAGTAAGGAGAGGGATCACCATTTGGGGTTGCATCTCCAGTCCAAAAGCTGGTGGCATTTGGGACTTATCAACCAGTTCTTGGTAGGAAATAGGGTACCATCTAACAAAATGTGAGGACTTAGGTGGCTGCTCTGGCTCCAACCAACATCTGATCCCTGGGAACTGACATCTGGCAGATGGTAGAAAGGAGGGTGCCTCAGCCAGAGAGGCAAACTGCAATATATGGTGGAGTGCTACATACAACACCTGGCAGCACCTGAAATTATACATCAGATCTGTGGCAAGAAAGGCATCATACCATCTACACCAGCAGAATGCCACCATCCTACTCTCAACTGAGTGGTATTGTGCACACTCAGGAGAACAGGCCTTCATAGATCACCACACCAGTGGCTATGAACCGGTAAGTGGCAAGGACTCCCATAATACACTAGAATAAGGAAGGAAAAAATGTGTTGGAGAGTCTGGAGGACCACGGCCCCAGAGATAGAGTGCAACTGGTACCGCAATATCCTATTTTGAAAAGCAGAGTGATCACATCAACGAAGTTAATAAACCAACACCTGGCAGTAGCTGGAATTGTACATCAGGTCTGCAGTAGGAAGAGCCTCAATGCCATGGATCATCAGAGATGGCCAATAATCCCTGTCTGCTTTACTCATGTTAGTCCATGAGTAAAGGAAGGACTATAACCCCTTAGGACAGACCAAAAAAGTACTTGTGCAACATACGTAGGTGAACCACCATGGAGGAAGAAAAAACAGGATAGAAACCAAAGGAAGCTATATACAAAACTTCAGTGCTTAAGACAAAGGACCTGATAATGCCTCGAGTGAAGATGGAGTGCAGGTACAGTTGGATGATGCATGCTGGAGTGGAAATCATGTGATAGCCAGCCAATACATAACCAGCAGCAGAACACTACATTGAATGGTCCAAAGTATGGCAAAGACACATGGGAGGAGAAGAAAAGGAGGATATTCATATAGATGTCAACCCGACCAATCCTGACTGAGAGTATTGACCATTCCTGCCAGAGGATGAGGAACTTGAGACCAAAATCAAAGAAGTGGTGTATTGAGAGGAGTGGCAAAAGTGTCCAAATCTAGGACACCTTACAGGGCACACAAAATCCCAAAAATGGGTAGATCTGAAGAACACACCAGAGGGAGAACCTTGTCAGGAACAAAGATAATCCAAAGTGTGATCATCCACAGTTCATGGAAGTTAAGGCATACTGACCCCCGAATGCAAATGCTCCTCAAAATGACTTACATAAATCCCAATATCCAGGGAAGGAGGAAACACTAAAATAATGACCCAAAGGCTAGTCCCTGAGAAGAGCAGGGGTGGAACAAAAGAAATATAAGGTAAGGACAGAACATAACATACCTAAATAATCAAATCCACCAAAGGGGAAAGAGGTCTGGGCAAGTCCTCCAAAACAACACGCAATAGAGAGGTATATTCCAAATCCAAAACTTCCCAATCACTGAAAACCTTGGTAGGACAATCATCAGTTTGTTCTATTTGTTGTGTGAAATTGGTCAATTCTCAATGGACCAGAGTCATTACTTCATGGACCGAGAATCATGATTCCGACCCATTGGACATGGTCAATAATCCTGCAGCAACAGCTGTAGCCGTGACCACCTGAAACTGCGAATGCACAACTTACAAAATTGAAAGAGGAGAGAGAATAGATAAAATAATTTGTAACTCTCCACAAAAGAGAATGAAAATGATAAAGAACAATGTAAGTAAAGTAGAAATTTATGAAACTAAAAATGAGGATAAGTGAATCAAACCATGAGAAAAAACACGACTATTCAATAAGACTGTCAATCAAGAAATAGTTAACAGCTGCAAGATTACAGAGAGGATAGTTACAATAGGAATAGTGTTGCATTCCTATTGTTGAAGGGTTGCTGCATATCATTAGCATGTTAGTATGCAGAAATAAGTGGGAGTATCAAAGCTAGCGGCATGCAAAAAGTAGCGCTGATAGAGGGCAGTATAAGTCGAGAGAGATTTTTGTGAGAGAGGTAAGATATCAAATCCGAAAGAAGTATTTTTAATGCTTTTTTTTTCAAAAGTGTTCCACAACAAAATTTTGGAAATTTCAATATCATAAAAAAATGACAAAAACTAAATCAAATTATATCACTTTATTGAGCCAAAAGCATCCTAAACTTCATGCAACTTAAGTGTGACAAGGTAAAGGTCAAGGAATATCAGTGATTCCCCCCTCCCACTCTGGTCTTATATTCCACAAAATGATTCATTCAGCTAACAACTCTAAAAACTGTTTGATGACAAAAAACCCACTTTGAGACTAATAAAGTTTGGAGATGTCTTGAATAGTCAATGGAGAAAACTTTATAACAAGTTTAACATAATAATAAATGTACAATGTTTCAACAAGGTTTTATCATTATCAGCTACAAGTAGTTTACCTAAACACAGGAATATATATATATATATACATATATACAGTATGGAACATATAGGTCACGTGACCAGAAACTGCTTAACAGCTTAGTAAAGGTATCTTGGTACCCTGCTTCCAGACAACAAATGACTCAAAAACTATTCCCTTTTTAACATTTACTGTTTGTAGTAATGATAGAGTTTGGAAGATATGATTGGGATACAAATATACATATAACCTTTAGAATAGTTATTAAAAAAAACTCTGATTATTATGAATACATAGAAATTTTTCACATTATACACATGTTCACTGTTATGTTGTTTAGGTTAATTAGCATAAAAAATTAAAGAATCAGTTTTTCAAAAAACAAATAATAATAATTCTAGAGAACTTACGGATTTTCAACCATTCGTTGGCAGACTTTTGCCATTGTGCCTAAAGTTTCTGTCGTATTCTCAATGGGAAGGTCTTTATTGTCTGCTACAAACTGTGTTGTTGCATCACTAAGCATCTTCAACATGGGTGTGGCATGAGCATAGAACAGGGACATTTTATTAGCTAATTCATTTGGTACTTCAAGCTCTTCATCTACAGGGTCCTAAATGAAGTTTAACAAGGCTCATTTAGTGAGGCTAAATGCAGAAATCTTAGGCACTCATAAAGCTGACTGTAGTGATTTAATAACAGAAGCACATATTGAACATTAAAGATACAAAACTCATTAATAGTCATCCAATTAAAGTCAATACATCATATGTATTGATCAAAATCATCAATCCATGATAAAAATTAAAATTATCATTAAGAATACTGAAATTAAATTAAGCACAGCGAGATCTATTCCTAATAAAATATTTTAAGCTCAGATGCATTTTAGATATATATAATTTACGTACTTTTATGCATATCACAAAAGACCTAAGTGAAAAGTGTAGTCTAAAATAATGCATTCGAAAAATTAATAACATAATAAAAACTAACAGAGATGGGACTGAGTATAATTAAGTACTCTACAATGTTATATGAGTTAATGAAAAACCTAAAATATCATTGAACAGAAAGATTTATAAATTTCTCCTATGAAATATAATTCCGTACAGACTAATGGGATAATTGTTCTAATCATCTACTGCCAATTATATAATTATTAGTTAGTTCTAATTTGATTACCTATCATTGTTTTTTTGTTGCTTGCAGTGTGAATGCTTTAAAATTTTCACTCCTTTATAATATATATAAATGAACAAAACAAGCCCAAACAAAAACACAATTAAATTAAAGATCCTG